GCTCCCGCCCGAGGGTTCGGATCCCACATATGGACCGGCTCCCGCTCACTGGCTGAGCGAGGCACGGGAGCAACGCCGAGGTTTGCAATCCCGTTGCCGGTCCCTGGTCCGGTACGGGGGCAACACTGAGGGTTGCGATCCGTTGCCGGACACGGAAAAAGACAAAAGACAAAAAAAAAAAAAAAAGAAATCCCTTTAGTATGAAGTGGTATTTCATGTAGAATTACATTTAAGTGTTGGAGAATCACATGCACTTACTGAATGATTTTGAAACATGCTGCTTTAATTTGTATGAATATTGATGGGCTAGTTAAGACAATATGCTTGTTCAGCCACCTGAAAATTATCCTTCCTACTCTCAACTGGCAGATACTCTATATACTAAAAACACTCTAACCCAGAAACATATGGAAGGGATGAGGTGAGCATAAGAATGATCATGTTAGATGGAATTTCCTATGCTCTGTAAAGTGTGCAACGTTCTCATGTATTCTGTTTGAGATTTACTGTGACTTCCTTATTAGTAAAGAAATTTTATGTTTCTAAATCTTTACGGATACCATTGGCAAGCCTAGAATTTCTAAACTGTAAAATTCAGAAGCAACTGACCAGTAGAAAATCAGTGGAACTTGGCAGAAAAGCTCTCTTGCTTTTAGTTATTTGTACCAAGGTTATAAACGTTCCTCTCTCTGCTTTGGCTTGTCGTAGTTATATCAGCAAAAATGTACTGAGCACTTATTATATGCAAAGGACTGTCTTTATTACTGGGTTCGTATTTATTTTTTTCTGACATAGCTTTTTAAAAACTTTTTAAAAATGTATGTATTTATAATGTATTATCTCAAAAAAACATTTGAGGCTCTTTTGTTACCTTCTTTCTACCCACTGGGACTCCCCCAGTCCTTTCCGGCACTATTACTAGAATAAGACAAGTCTTAGGAAGGGGCAGCTATTCTTTTTAAAGATAGAATTCTGATGCAGCAGGGCATGCCTGTTCAGTTCCAGGGGTGGGATGTGGATATGAGTTTTCATGTGGTGCGTTGTGCTTGCCAAGGTGCTATATTTTAAGAATGTAGGTACCTATAGTTCTTCTTCATGTTAAAATGGCTAAACTGCATCGTTAAAGCTCTATTTTAGGTTTATGTCTTCTGATACTATCATGATACCTATTAGTTATTAGGTGACAGCCAGTGACTGTGGTGAGAGATTTTGGTTTTCTTTTTCGACAGCAGTGTGTGGGTTCAGAAGTAAGCCTGATTAAGCCGTGCTTACTGCTTTCACTGTCCTTGTCATGGTGACTGCTGGTGCTTTGAGCCTCTCAAGTGGACAGACCGTATCTTTCTTATCCATTTCCCCTTCATGGCACCTGGCGTGGTTGTTTGTCCTGCTCCTTGCCCAGCATTTTGTTGAATGAGTTAATGGCATCTGTATCCAATAGGATTCAACTAGAAAACCAGAACCAGTAGGAGATAGATATTAAGAGATTTATTGCAAGGAATTGGCATACATGATTGTATGGTCTGGCTAGGAAAGCCTGAAATCTGTACAATGGACCATCAGGGAGGGCATGATGGAACTCTCCAGAAATGGGTGGAAACTGCTATCCTCAGGTGGAATTTCTTCTTCAGGAAAGCCTCAGCTGTTCTCTTAACACCTTTCAATTGATGGGGTCAGACTTTCCCGGATTACCTAGACTAAACTGCCTTACTTCAAGTCAACTGATTATAGACTTTAATCACATATAAAAATACCTTCACAGCAACACCTAGATTAGTGTTTGAACAACTGGGGGCCAAAGCCTGCCATGTTAATGCATCAAAAGACCATCACAGCATTGGGCTGCTTTCTTTTCCATTAATTGCATGCCATACAGTATCCAGAACTCCCAGAATTCACATTTAAAGGATCTTTAAGTAAACAGTGTACTAGTTATTTGTTGTGGTGAGTATGGTGCCCTGGAACCTAGAAGGAAAGCTGGTTCTGACCACATCATGAGCTTGGTGGCCGTGGACCCTGGGTGGGCCTGGAAGGAAGCAGTCAGTGGGTCAGCTGCCTTTGCCTCCCATCCTCACTTCTCCCCTCACCGCCATCTGGCTTTGGCTTCTCTGCTCTTCTGAGGCCCCTACTTCAAAATCCAAGGGCTTTGTTTGAGACCTTTTCACGCTGAGTCTCCATGTCTGCTGACGTTGACTAGCTGCTGCTTGAAGTTCTCTCCTCTGGGCTTTTGTGATCTCTTCTCGGGTTTTTCTTTTCTTCTGCTGTTCTTCTTTGCCTGTCTCCTGCATATGCTTAGATGTTGTCAGTTTGTGCTCTTGACCGTTCTGTTGTTTTCTGGCCTGGATGCTGTCATCCGCTCTTATGGTCTGTCCCTGACACTGTGTGTGGATGACCCCTGCTTTGATATCACCAACTCCGACCTCCCCCGGGAGCTCTGCACTCAGCTTTCTGAGTGACTCTTGGACCCTTCTAGAATACTGTTGCCTAGAACAGCCCAAGCTGTTTTTGATTGCAATTTATTTAGCCACATTTAATAGCTGAAAATATAATATGGCGTAGAGAGGATTATGGAAGGCACTGCTCTTAGCTGCTTTACTAACCTCCTTTGAAAAACTGGTCCCCTCCTCCCAGAGCCCTTAGTTTCCTAAAGAAGGGCTGTAAATACTTGATCAAAAGAGCTGGTCTGTAGTCCTGAGGGTACCAAGTCAATTCCATGAGTCGGAGAATTTGAAAAGTTATGAAACAGTGTTGACAAATAACTAACATGTTCTCTTCTCTCATTTCTCCAATCAGGCAGAATATGAAGTGGCTGATGATGAGGAGCGAAGAGATTATGGAATGTCAATCTTAGATAGATTCTTCAATAATGAGGTATGTTTTCTTCTTTATAATAAAGATTTGTAAATAACTTACTTAAGTAATTACAGTGCATAACCATTTTTACTTTGTCGGGTAAGATATAACAAATATGCTAAAAGCTTTAACCTCTTATAAATGTTCCTCTTCCACATTCTCATTTGATTCAGTGAGGAAATTAGCAATGAGAACTCTTAGATTCAAAGAATTTCAAAGTTTCTGTGTTTCTTCTAGCAGAACATAGAACTAGAGATTTTTTTTTGCCTCTCTTGCACTAAAAATAACATTTTTTCCTAAAAGCTTTAATGGGTCTTTGTTTTTATACTTTCTGACTCACTAGGTTCTTGGAGTTTGGTATGTTTCTGACGTTAGAGCTGTAACCTGCTTCCTTTCATGTGACTTCTGTTTGGTAGGCCATTAGAGTGTTAAAGAACCTGCTCATGCTCTTGTGATTAATAAATGACAGGACTGGGATTTGAACTCAGCAAGGCTAGGTCCAGACTCTACTACATTGCTGGAAGTAAACCTTTACCAAGTGTATTATTTCCTATTGTTGCTGTAACAAATTACCTTAAGCTTTTAATGACTTAAAACAACACAAATTTATTATCTTCTAGTTCATAAGGTCACAAATCTGAGATGAGTCTCCTGGACTAAAATCAGAAAGATACACACACGTCTCTATGCCTGTATTTCCTCATTTTAAAATTGGGGGTGATTTTAATAGTACTGACTTCATAGTCTTGTTTTTGTTTTTGTGATTCAGACCCAAATGAGTTTTGACTCCAAAGCTTGTGTCTCCCCAGCATCCAGCCTCGCTGATCATTCTTTTCAGATACAGCCATTACAATGTCTGCATATTTGTAGGTATACCCGGACACTAATTGGGATGAATTGAGAAGTTTCATTTATTTAGTTCTCTTGTCTATTTTATTAGCTCCTTTTATTTCCTTCACCTTTCCTGAAGAAATACCTACATAGCAAAGGAGGTCATTAAGAAGAGAGAAATAATTTAGACCTGAATTACGGTGGATATAGCAAATGTAGAGGAGGAAGGGAGGCGCAATTAAACACCTGCAGCCTGGTGTCTTAGTCTCTTTGTGCTGCTATATATAACAGAATACAGCAGGCTCTGTAATTCATAGTGAGCAGGAACCTATGGGCTCACAGTTCTGGAGGCTGGGGAATCCAATTCAAGTTGCCAGCATCTTTCAAGGGTCTTTTTGTTGCATCATCAAATGATGAAAGGGCACAGAGAGAGAGATCACCTATGCCCATGCCCAAGAGGTGGGGGGAGGAGAGAGAGAGAGAGAGAGAGAGAGAGCATGCAAATACACATACCCAAGAGTGAGGAAAGAGAGAGCAAGAGATAGAAAGATCGTGCCTGTGCCCAAGAGCTGGGGGAGGGGGAGCACCCATGGTGGGTGGTGGGGGCAGAGGGGACACAGAGAGAGAGAGAGAGAGCCTGTGCCCAAGAGTGGGGTGAAGAGCCTTTGCCCAAGGGGACAGGGGGTGGGTAGAGAGCATGAGTGAGCAAGCACCCATGCCCAAGATGGGGTGAACCTATTCTCACAGTAAGTCCATTCATGAAGACCTAAACACCTCTTAAAGGTCCCACCTCCCAATACCATCACAATGGCAATTACATTTTAACGTGAGTTTTGGAGGGGACAGACATTCAAACCATGGCATTTGGTAATAGTGAGTGATGTGTATGGGCTACCTGAAGATGTTGTAATTAGAATGCTTTTTTTTTCTTACCATCAACTGGGAAAACTGCCACATTCTTCCTCTTCTCTACCTGGTGGCCCTGCCCTTGTGCTTTTCTAAAAAAAAAAAAAAACAATGATTCACATCATCTTTATAGTTTTTCTTTTTCTTATCTTGTCTTTGAAAACAAAAACAACAAACATTCCTTTCTTTTGCATACTGAAAAAGGAGCTCCTTGAGGTCACTCAAATTTCAACAACCCAGAATATCTAAAGTACCTAAAAGTAAAGCAAGACTGTGTGTTGATTCTTACATTTCTTTATCCTGTCACTCAGGCATTCTTTTTTTTTTTTGTCCTTTTTGAGACCGGCCGCACCACACTCAGTCAGTGAGCGCTGTGAGCGCACCGGTCATCCCCATATAGGATCCGAACCCGTGGCGCAGCGCTCCCAGCGCCGCACTCCCCCGAGTGCGCCACGGGCTCGGCCCTCAGGCATTCTTAGTTTTTCTCAATTTTCTTAGTTTTCCTCTCAGGGTTCCCAAATATTAAAATTCAGCCAAATTTGAATTTACAATTTAAAGGAATTGTGACCAAAACCAAGTGGGATTTATCCCAGGAATTCAAAGTTGGTTCAATATCTGAAAAATTAATATAATTTATAATAAATAGCCAAATTTGAATTTACAATTTAAAGGAATTGTGACCAAAACCAAGTGGGATTTATCCCAGGAATTCAAAGTTGGTTCAATATCTGAAAAATTAATATAATTTATAATAAATAGCCAAATTTGAATTTACAATTTAAAGGAATTGTGACCAAAACCAAGTGGGATTTATCCCAGGAATTCAAAGTTGGTTCAATATCTGAAAAATTAATATAATTTATAATAAATAGCCAAATTTGAATTTACAATTTAAAGGAATTGTGACCAAAACCAAGTGGGATTTATCCCAGGAATTCAAAGTTGGTTCAATATCTGAAAAATTAATATAATTTATAATAAATATAATACAGCTTATTAATATAATAAAGGACAAAAAAGACATGATCATCTTAATAGGCACAGAGAAAGCATTTGACAACACCCATACCCCTTCATGACAAAATCTCTCAACAAACTAGGAATGGAATAGAACTTGCTCAGCCTGAGAAAGGATATCTACAAAATATACACAGCTAACATAATACTTAAGTGTGAAAGACTAGATGCTTTCCTCCAAGATTAGGAACAAAATGAGTGTGTTCGCTCTCACCACTTCTTTTCGACTAAAGTTTCTGTTGTGCTGGAGGTTCTAGCCAGGGAAGTTAGGCAAGAAAAAGAAACGTATCCAGATTGAAAAGGAAGAAGTAAAACTATCTCTATTTGCAGATGACACGATCTTGTATGTAGAAAATCCTAAGGAATCCACATGTAAAGAAAAAACTACTAGAGCTAATAAATGAGTTTGGCAAGGTAGTAGGATACAAGATTACTGTACAAAATTCAATTGTGGTTTTTTTTTTTTTTTTGTCTTTTTCGTGACCGGTAAGGGAATCGCAACCCTTGGTGTGACGTCGCCCACACTGTGCTCAGCCAGTGAGCGCACCGGCCAGTCCTATATAGGATCCAAACCCGCGGCAGGAGCGTCGCTGCGCTCCCAGCGCCTCACTCTCCCGAGTGCGCCATGGGGCTGGCCCTCAATTGTGTTTCTGTACACTACCAATTAAAATTTAAAAAGTTAGGAAAGCAATTTCATTTACATAACATCAAAAAAGAATAAAATACTTAGTTATAAATATAACAAAATAAGCGCAACACTTATGCACTAAAAACTACAAAACATTGAAAAATTAAAGAAGACCTAAATAAATGGAAGGACATCCCATGTTTATGGATCAGAAGACTTAATATTGTTAAGATGGCATTACTCCTCAAATTTATCTATAGATTCAATACAGTCCCTATCAAAAGCCTAGCTGCTTTGTTTGCAGAAATTAACAAACTGATCTTAGAATTCATACAGATATTCAGGGTACCCAGAATAGTGATAAACTTCTTGAAAAAGAATCACGCCTCAATTTCAAAACTTATTACTACAACAGTGTGGTACTGGCATAGGGGTAGACATATAGGTCAATGGTATAGAATTGAGAGTTCACAAATAAATTCATGCATTTACAGTCAATTGACTTATGATCAGGGTACCAAGACCATTCAACGATAAAGAATAGTCTTTTCAACATGTGGTGGTCAAACAACTGGTTAGCCACAGGAATGAATCTGGATCCTCACACCATAGACAAAAAATTAACTCCAAATGGATCAAAGACCTAAATGCAAGAGCGAAAACTATACAACTCTTAGAGGAAAGCATAGGTATGAATCTCAAGACCTTGAATTAGTCAATGATTTCTTAGATATGACACTTAAAGCACAAACAGCAAAAGAAATTGTAGGTAATTTGGACTTCATCAAAATTAAAAACTTTGTGCTTCAAAGAACACTATCAAAAAAATGAAAAGATAATCTACAAAATAGGAAAAAGTATTTGCAACCATATATCTAAGGGTCTAATATTCAGAATATGTAGAAAATGCTTACAACTGAACAATAAAAGGAAAACCCAATTTTTTAAAAAAAATAGAAAAATAAACATATTTTTTAACACAGGAAAATAAGCATATTTCTGCAAAATCCACCCCCCACCATTAGACTTTTCTGTTAGAGTTCCCTGTCTCCAAAATGTAAAAAGCAAGGCACTGAGTCCTTTGGTAAATTTGCCCTGGTAACACCTATTCTGGGAAACGATCCTTGTTTGTTAGTTTAAAGCCTCACAGAAGTCTCAGTTGTGCCTTTATTGTGTCTAGCAGCGGGCCAGTGGGACTGCTCCTCGAGTCTCCTCTCTGCACTCACCTCTCTGCTCGTGGAGACTAGAAGCATTGCTTTTCCTTTCCGTGGGAATAAATAACTATTAACACAAAAACTTTCCAAGATACTGAAAATAGGATCTCTGTTTGGAGTTAAATCACTAAACAGTTTTAATAGAATCAACCTGTCATTTAGTTTCAGAAAATTGAGACCTTTGGAAGGGAAATAAGACTGTTGGAATATTGGCTTTGTTTTTGAGAAAATTTTGTGGTGTTTCTGCTGTCTGCAGTGCCTGGAACAACACATATTTGTTGAGTAAACGAATGACCAGACTTCTTTTCTTAAATGGTAAAATGAATTGACCCGTTTGTTCTTATCATGGCCGTGCTGTGTAGAGAGAAACTGGACTCTGGGGTCTGGCAGGGTGTGGTTCAATCTCGCTCTCCCCCTTGTTCCTGTGGGTGCACTGGCATGTTTTGTAACTTCCCACACCTCTTCATCCATCAGAGTTGTTGTGAGGCTAAATGAAATAACATACATTAAAATGCCTCAAATGTATGAGATAATTTAAATGACAGCTATTAATCATTATTAATTATAAAAATAGTGTTGACTTTTTAATGCAAGTTTTCTCATTGTTGCATATTTCTATCAGTAGTTCAGTTTCTTTGATGAAAGAGCTGCTTCAATTTATAAAAAACACAAAGCTTTGCTGTGGTAACTGGGCTCTACCGCAGTCAGAAATCAGTCTGCAATACGTTTGTTGTTTCTAATGACAAATTAAGTGTACAGCTGAACATGGAGACAGTATTTTTTTTCATTGAACCTGAATAATGGTTTTGTCGTGTGTTTTCTTTTTCCACAATCCTTACCTTTTAATTTCATAAAGAGGATGGGAACTGGCACTAGGGCCTCTGTGAGTGGGAATGTGAAGTGGTAGCACCTTTGGAGGCATTTTCACAGTAAATACCGACATTTAAAATGAGTGTATCCTTTGAGATAGCAGTTCTATTTTTAGGAATCTATCCTGTAGAAACATATGTGTACAAAGATGTTTATGGCAGTGTGTTTGAAGTGGGAAAACTGGCAACTAGAATGTTCAGTAGAGTCAGAAAAACCCAAACACTGGAAAACCACACAGTCATTAAAGAAAATGTGGTCACTCTATAGGTGTTAGCATTAAAATCTACATGTATATTTTTCCCATTTGTATGAGGAAAAAGAAACTGTGTGTATTTCTGAGGGTGTGTGTGTTGTGTGTGTGTGTGTGTGTGTGTGTGCATGTGATTTTTAATTCTTAATTGTAGTTAAGAAGCACATAAAAAGATTTATCACCATGACCATTTCTATGTATACAGTTCAGTGGTATTAATTACATTCACATTGTTAATGCAGCCAGTCTCCAGAATTTTTCCATCTCACAGAACTGAAGCTCAGTACCCATTAAACAACAACTCCCCATTTCTCTCTCCCCTCAGCCCCTGGCAACCACCCTTCTGCTTTCTGTCTATGAATTTGACTACCCTAGGTACTTCAAAAGTGGAATCATATGGGATTTGTCCTTTGTGTTTGGCTTATTTCTCTCAGCATAATGTCCTCAAGGTTCGTCCATGTTGCAGCATGTGTCAGAATTTCCTTCCTTTTTAAGGCTGAACACTGTTCCATCACATGGATAGACCACATTTTGTTTGTCCATCCATCTGTTTATGGACACTCGTGTCATTCAACTTTTTGACTGCTGTGAATAATGCCACAGTGGACATGAGTGTGCAGACACTTCTTTGAGACCCTCCTTCCCACAACAGGCTGAACTCCAGTGAGGGGACTGGGTGGAGGGTGCGGATGGCATTTCAACTTGTGTTTTACACTTTATGTTTTCATTTTTTATAATAAGCATTAGGTTCTGTATGTGCTAAATTATGAAATAACTAATTGTTGTGTATTTGGTTTGTACTGTATTAATAAGTTGGCAGCCTCTTTACCAGAAATACCTCCAAGTGTTGTGAGAGAATGTAGATCAAGACTGAAGCAGAACCCTTCCAAAAAAGTCTTTGAGGAGTGCACTGGGTAAGTGGCTGGTGCCCAGCCCTGTACATGTTATCTGTGGCTAGCCCCAAGATAGATGGGCTTGCAGGAGGTTGCTCCGAATGAGACAAGTTCTTACCAGAGTACTTTCCAAATTAAAATGATCACTCGCACTAGAAAGAGGTGACTGGAGAGTAATAAGTACAGTACGTAAGTGGAACACTGAAACGGGTCATGTTGCTGTGTCCTAGCATCCCTGTGATGGCTCCGGGCCCTCTCCGGTCAGCCTTTCAAATGCTCGTGTCTAGGATGAAAAGATTCCGATAGAATGTTTTATTAAACCTAAACACTCACCAAAAATGTCTTTTTTCTGGATCTTTGCAATTTGGACAGGATAATTCTAAGGCAGAGAACGTTGGGTAAATCCAGCTTCTCTATTCACACAGGAGAAAGAACGGATTCTGAGGTGCTCTGGTCTCAAACGTGCAGTGCTGTGTGTGTGTGCGCAGATAGTCACTCGTTTGACAGATGAGGAGGCTGAGGCCCTGGGAGCCGTGGGAAAGCTTGTTCTTTGCTCAGAGGGCAATTAGAGTGACATATCCATTGCATTTTTAAAGATTGCTCTGGCTGCAATTTAGAGGATGGCTTGAAAGGAGGAAGAATGGGTCCAAGACAATGGCCTTAGAGTCTGTGGCAGTTGTTCAGGTGAGGTGTGAGGGCTGCCTGCACTAGGGCGATGACAGTGGTGTGGAGGTAATGAATGGATTTCAGAAACAATGAGGAGGCTGATGGGCATGGGGACGTGTCAAATTGGAGGTGTGTTTCAGTCACCAAGCGAAGCCATGAGGTAGACAGCTAAATCCTGAGTGTTCATCTGAGAGGCATAGGAGACTGGGTTTGGAGGTCATAACCTCTGCTGAGGTCTGACTGAGGTCGTGGCAGCAAGGCCGGTGGTAGGAAGTGTGGACAGAGTGATAACTGGAGAGCCTGTGGGCCCTCTCCACACCCATCACTCTTCTGCTCACACAGTCTGGCATCTGTCCCCTCCCTCCACCACTGTAGGTTATTGGTGACCTCAGTCAGAACTGCGTTGTGGAGGGAGGGGACAGGTGCCAGACTGTTAGTGGAAGGAAGGATGATGCTTGATAAAGAAGCCAGATTCCAGGCCTGAAGAGAGGCCATGTGCTGGGGACACAGGAGCGGGGGGTGGGGGGGACATTTCAGGAGAAGGGATGTGTCTGTAGTAGCTGCTGTGGAGGCTATGTAGTTTTAATGCCCAAGGAGGTTTTAAAACCTTATCTTAGACTTATCTTGATGTTTCAAGTGGGGCACCAAACCACAGAGAGTTGAATTCATTCATTCATTCATTCAACAAATAATTTATTTAGGGTCTATTATGTGCTAAGCACTGTCCTAGGCACTTGGGGTATGTGGGCGAATGTAACAGACAAACTTCTGCCTTCAATCAGCTCACGTGCAGCAGGGGATGGCTCACCTGGCCCATGCTAGGGCGTGGGGGGCTGGGTCTAGAACCTGTGATACTTTAAGAAGGTGACTGTATTGGAAATAAAAAACAAGGCTTCCTGTCTACCCATGGCTTCCTCCTGAGGCATAGGTGCTCTGCACAATGAGGAGCTGAGTGGTTTAGAAGTTTATTCCCTTTGGTGAGAAATCCAGTGGCCAGTCCCATGTCCCACAGATAAGTGGATTTCATCTCATCTTTCTGCAAGCCAGGTGTGTGGCATTGGACTAGAACCTTCCTTTCTGACCTTCAGACTGCTCCTCGGAAAATGGATTATAGTAGATGTTCTCTAGGATTTTTAATTTCAAGCCATCTTTTATTCTTGTTGGATATTCACATTAATGGAATTCTAATGTTTGCGACTTAAATTTCCTCTGCAAAAAGATGTTGGCCCTGTCTGATCACCTCCCTCTGGTATGGCAGACAGGACAGGTATGGTCTTGGGTCCCTGGTTAAGACCATCCTGGGGCACTGTGGTGAAAATCACAATTCTTCCTCCCTTGCTCTGGGATGTTGAAGAAGCCAGGGGGGAGGGGCTCGTCTTTCCGTCCTTCCTTCGTTCTTCAGATTCCTCTCCTGGGTGTGTACGTGTCCTTGTGCATGTGCGCTAGAGACGTGGGAGTAATAACAACAGTGATAGCCTTGGAAGGGCTCATCCACTTACCCCTCTCAGTGACTGTTTGAGGTGGGCATGAATACTACCCCTATTTTACAGGAGGAGAAACTGAGGCCATAAAGGTTGGGTAACTTACCTCAGGTCCCTCAGCCAGTGAGTGACAGAAGCAGGACTTGCCTATCCAGGTGTTCTGGCGGTTCATGCCCTTGACCTCTCTGCTGCCGTATAGGTGACTCTTTCACTGAATCTTGCACTGGGGAGGCATGTTGCTTGAGGACAGAGCAGTTGGCACCCTCCTATGGACACATTCCCCAAGAAGAGTTGTCCTGTTTTACTGCTCTTCTCGTTGCTGTTTTGCTGCTGTTTTCACTGATGGCATTAGAACCTAGTGTGAACTCCTATAAATGCAAAGTCAATATATTGAATTGTGTGTGATGATTGATTTTCATATTCAGTGCTCGTTAATGCACTAAAACAGTTTTCATATTGTAATGCAACAAATTTATATAATTGCATAAAATCTTTTTCTAGAGTTGTTCATAACTATTTAAGTGGGAAACCATTTGAAGAATACCAAGAAAGCTCATATTTTTCCCAGTTTTTACAATGGAAATGGCTGGAAAGGTATGTTCTAATGTTAAACTCAATAGTAGTGCATACTGATTGATGCACTGTCAAAATACTGTTGGAAACCTGGAGTTGTATATGGTATTTTTGTACAGAAATTATTAATAGGTATTGTACACTTTCTTCTGATTTAATTAAGTCTGTTCTCTCTTTTTAAAATGGCAGTTAGCCCCGCTGGTGCAGTGGTTAGATGGTAAAGCTTGTCTCAGACCTACAGTGACATGACGCGATGCAGGGACTGAGGCTTTGTGGTGCTTTGCAGTCTAAGCCCCTGCTCAGCCTCCTGCCAGCTGTGGCCTCAGGCAAGCAACATAGCCTTTATGAGCTTCTGGTCCTTGTTCTGTACAATGGAGTTAATTATAAAATCACCTGGGAGATGAGTGAAATGCCTAGCATGATGTTTGGTGCATAAAATACGTGCTCAGAAAGTGTTAGCTGCTACTAGTGCGATTACTATTATTACCATTATCATTGATGGATTAAGTTTCCAGTTCTAGTTCATACATTTTCTTTTGAGATGCTGGATATAAGCATTTCTTTGAGGTTCTTTTTTCAAAGGACAGCATGCTGCATATGTGTCGTTTTCCACGACAACTATCTTGCTGACAGGGTCAAGAAGGTGTGCCTAGACTGTGCCATGACTTAAAAACATTGATGTTTCCTAGTGTGGGCTGATTGCAGACCTGTCTTTAGTTAGTAAGAATAACTGGACTGTTTGGCATCTTGCTTTAATGTTTTCAGTCCATCTTAAAAGTGCTCATGTTTTTCTTAGTGCAAGTCGAGAGCTGTCCCACTGCGGGGGTGTCACAGTCCCTGACTACAGACGCCCTTTGTCCTGGGCATTCCCTTTGAGCAATATGGTTCAATAAATAAGGCTAAGACAGGAGCTAGATAGGCTTTTCTGTTTTAAAATAACAATGCGATGTGAGACCTGAAGCTTTTTTTTTTAATTGATTAGGCAACCAGTAACAAAGAACACATTTAGACATTACAGAGTTCTGGGAAAAGGCGGATTTGGAGAGGTGAGTAACGTGTGCCAGCTGCATGCAGCTCTTCTAGATAGGCCGATGGCAAGGCCATCACGAGGTGTGGGCTCCAGGCAACGCTCAGCTTCACCAGCGCTTTCATGTCCTTATTGTGCGCTGTGGGAGTGACTTTGGCCAACTCTGAGAATTAGGATGGAACGTTGAGCAAAAGGTACTTTGCTACAAGTTTTTAAAAAAATCTCCTATCTTTGTGACTCCACTTCTACTTAATATTTCTGACAGAAGCTGTTTTCTTGTGCTCAGTGTTCAAGCTCAGTCCATTTGTCCAGATTAGAAGACTAGATTCTGTTTCCATGTTGTGGAATTTCCATTATTCTATTTCCATAATTTAGGAATACCCCTAAAATTTATGTAGTACAGAGTACATTATTAAATATGCTCATTTAACCTAACTCTGTTTTGACATATATGTACCTTGTACCTACATCAAAAGGTGTCTGAAAATGTGTCAATTTGGAAAAATCCTAAGGAAACTTACAGATTCATGATAGGTGGTGTTTAAATACTATGGCTGTCCTAGACCGAGAGGTCTGGGGTGAGTGGACAGAGAATAGCCTGCAGTTCTGGTTTGGTGATGTAAAGAGATTGTTGGTTACCTCGTTAATTACCTGGAGTGATCATATTCAGTTCAAGGGTATTAAGTCCCCAAGAGCCAGGAGAGCAGTTGGGTAACTAATGTTGTATGTTTAAGTCAGAGGCGGGTTACACTGCCCAGGTGTGATCTAAATCAGGCATGCTCCCATATTGCAGTTAAAAGGAAAAGCTGCCAGTATTGCCTTAAAATTAATTAGAAATCTGACCCAAGAGGCATTACAGTACAAGTGAGATCTGTTATACATTTTCAGTTTGACATGGCAAGAAATTGGTCAACATAGTTACTACTTCAGGAAAATTAGCAGTTTTATGCCTCTAATGCAATCCTGGAGACCTATTAGAATATTCTGCTCTTTCAGTCCAGATTCCCATAGTGCACTTGCTTTTCCAGATGCTAACACCTCTTCCGGTGGTCTTGAAAGGGCAGATGTAATTGGTCTTATTCTGACAACAGTCATTCTTTTGCTTGTGCTTGAAGTCCTCCAAAACCGATGTGTAGGTTCTGCGGCAAGCTCAGTGGAGGGTTGGGCAGGAGTCTGCCTTCGCAGTTTCAGAGGCAGCAGAGAATAGTGGAAAGAGCATACATTTCGGAATTGGGCAGACCCGAGGTCAAGTTCCTGGCCGTCCCTTCCAGTTGTGTGATCTTGGGTTCACCATCTTGCCCTCACCCTTAGCAAGGGGATAATAATAATCCCTGATCACTGGATAGTTGTGTGAAGCAAATGACTGTTATGTCTAGCTCCCTTCCACCTCTGCCTTAAAACGAAAGGAGATTACAAAGCATTACCTATTCTATAGTATGAGCCCAATTTTGCCCTAAAAGGCAGGGGTGGGGGGCAGGTATGCATTCTTACATACACATGTACCAAGGGAGACTTAGAAGTCTGTTTAGGAAGATACTAATGATAGTTGTCTTGGAATTACAGGTGAGTTGTTTTTATCATTGTCCTCATTACTTCCAATATTTTCCACAGTGAACTTCATATTACTTTTACCATCAAAATTATTTTATTGATGGATACAATTACATTATATCTTATGTTTGCTTTTAAAGTAATCTTCTGTGTGGAGTATTGTGTGTGTGGGGTGGTTGATGTGGGTGTGTCTGTGGCATGCAGTGGGTGAGAGTCACAATATCCATTTATTGATAACCCAGGAGCTGGGGGACTGGTCCCTGGGGGCTCTTTATACTTTCCACTTGTGTATGTTTGAAACTTTTCATGATGTAAAGGTAATATATAAATACTACCTTAAGAACTAACTAATAGAATAAAGGTATGAAAATATATGAATTCTATGAAATGTATTTCCCTGTATTCTTGAATTTTTTAATTAAAAAACAATCTTTTTAGTTTCATATTTTAAAGCTTTTGCTCTTTTACAAATAAAACAGACATATTGGACGTATTTAAATTAAACAAATGCACCATGATCACCTCTGAACAAGTTCCAGTTGCACCCTGTCCTAGAGCTTATAAAGCACAGCGTCATGCTCGCTTGGTTCTCTCAGTGGCCTTTGTTGATGAGAAGCTGAGAAGAAGGGACAAGCTGAGAAGTAGGGAGCAGCTCCGTGTGTCCACTATTGATGTGGTCTGGGCTCGTTAAACACTGTTGCTGGTCTTTACCACAGAGGGTTATCTGCAAGAAAACAGTTTTCTTTGTGTGGCCTAAGAAATGTCAGGTGTACGTAAATTTTTTTTTTTTTTTAACTAGGTTTGTGCCTGTCAAGTGCGAGCTACAGGAAAACTGTATGCCTGCAAAAAGCTAGAAAAAAAAAGAATAAAGAAGAGGAAAGGTGAAGCTATGGCTCTAAATGAAAAGAGAATCCTAGAGAAAGTGCATAGTAGATTTGTAGTAAGTGTCTCCTTTTAGCCTTCACTGTGTATTGCTTGATTAGTAGCACTTTTATCAGCTGACCTGCTGCTAAGCTACTTTGGGTCAAGCCTTAGAAGTCATTTGGGGTTTTTCTCGATTTACTTTATGTGGGGTTCTGCTGTCTCTCGCTGATAGCAGGTGATAGGTGCTGGGAACAGTTTTGTTTTTAGTAACAGCCTCTTCTTTCCTATCCAAACCCTACAAACATAAAGTAGATGAAACCCTGCTTCTGACCACTGCCTTGTTATGATCCGTATCCACCACCGCTCATTCTGTCAGTTGCTTTTCACGCCTTCCAGTGAGTGTACAGAGGATTGTCAAGCTCTAAGTTCCTTGGTGTTTCCTGGTGAAGTGCTCTCTCCTTTCCTGTGACGGCCAGAGCTCATCTCAGCTTGCTGTCACCTCCAGCCTGTGGGGCACTGTGACTTTGATGTGCTCGAAAATACTTTCTCTTGCCTTCTTCTCATGTGGGCCTCCTCTCTTTGGCTTCAGTCTGTTTTCCATCTTTTTCCTTTCTCTGACATCTGGTAAGTTTGCCTTTAGGCCCTCAACTAGCATATTGCAATTGTATGAAGCCCTCAAATTCCAATGTTCCTGTTACTGGTGAGGACAGAACATTGGGCAAGCTGGTGTGTGAGTTTCGAGGAGCAATTCCAGGCTTTGGGCTGTGCGCTGTGTGTTTTTCTTCTCCAGACCTCGTTTCTCTCCACCTAATTATACATTTCCTGCAGCATCTACTGCAGTAAGAAGGCTGGTGAAGGAGAGTGTGAACAGTGTGAAATAATTTGTGGTGTTGGAGTTACTTCCTCAAAGTCATTTATTTCTCAGCACTGAGGTCAGCTACTTTGTGCTGGGGAAAAAATGTTCCAAAACAATATGTCTTCACAGCCAGCATCTGAATTTAATAGCACGGGTTCGTGTGTATGATTTGTCAGTCTCACATGCAGCATCATGAAAATCTTCAATAAAATGGGCTCATCTTGGAGTTGCTTTGCACATATTTATGTAACTACTTCAAAACACAGGAATCCACATCTAGCTTTGTGAAAGAGACATAAGAAGTAGTTACAGTTTATTCTATTTAAATAATTTGGTTTCTGTATTGTTGGCCTCTCCCAAGGACAGATATTTTTCTTCCTCTATGATTCTGTTTTTCTCTCCATGCTTACAGTTGATTAGTGGATTCTGACCCATGCTGTGTCACGTTCATCCCCACCGTCAGCCTAACCCACGGCAACAGCACCTCTCCCTGGAACTCCCTGCCTCTGCCTGGGTTCTTGCCCCTCACGATCTGTTCTCCATGGAGCAGTACAGGCAGTCTTTGGAAAAGTTGAATTGGTCATACACTTTCCTGATTAAAACTCTCCAGTGGCTGCCCATCACACTAACAATACAGTTAGACTCAGATCTGGCCTGAGGCACTGGGGGACCTGGCTCTTGCAGCCTCTGTCACCCCATCTCATCCCACCCTCTCCCACATCAAGCCTGGGACCTGGCCGTGCCATCTCCCTGAAGCGTGGCTGCCTCTTTTCTTGTCTTGGATCTCATTCCCTCCAGGAATTTTATGTCTGTCTGATGTTTTCTTTGTGTTCATTCATTTGTCATCTGTCACCTGCCCAATATCCTGCTGACCTGTGATACGAGAATAGCTGTGCACCCAATCCCTAGAACAAGGCAGGCTGATAGAAGGTTCTCAGTATTATTTTAATATGTATTGAGTGAATTTCAAATGAATATTCACAAGAGGAGAGAAAGTAAGGGGTCCTTGTTAATTCAAAGGAAGGACTAGTGAGAAATTCTTGCGGTATAACTCTGGTGTGTTCCATGCCAGCCCATGACCACAGTGGGCAGCAGGGCCTCCTTGAACACCTCGTCCCCTCCTCTCCCCTGTACTCAGTGCTCTCCCCCTCTACCTGCAACTGGTATTTTCTTTCTTACTGTTTTAATACATTGTGACCAAGTTGGATTTATTCTAGGAATGGAAACCAACTAATTTAAATTAAATTGCATCGCTAAAATAAAGGGAAAAAAACATATAGTCGTCTCAGTAGGTGCAGGAAAATCTTTTAATAAAATTCAATCCTATGTCATGATTAAAAATTCTATAAGCGAGCCAGGCATAGAAGGAAACTTTCTTTGAAAAATCTCTAGCACACATCATACTTAATGTGGAAATATTGAAAGTTTTCCCATGAGATCTGGAATGGAACTGGGATACATGCCGTCACCATTCCTATTCAGCATTAAATTGGAGTTTCTAGCCAGTGCAGTAAGATAGGGGGAAAGGTGAAAGCAATTCAGGTTAGAGAAAGAAGAAAAAGAGGTAAAAACAGTCATTATTTTCAAACATCGTGATTGTATGTGGAGATAGTCCCAGACTTTCTAGATAACCAACTGAGGATTTAGCAAGGGATAAGGATGTGAATCAGATGCAAACAATTAGAAAATAGACATTTGGGCTGCTGGTTAGTTCAGTTGGTTACAGTGCGGTGTTGGTAACACGAAGGTCAAAGGTTTGGATCCCCATACTGGCCAACTGCCCGGAAAAAAAAAAAAAAAAAAAAAGAAAGAAAATGGACATTTTCAACTGAGGATTTAGCAAGGGATAAGGATGTGAATCAGATGCAAACAATTAGAAAATAGACATTTGGGCTGCTGGTTAGTTCAGTTGGTTACAGTGCGGTGTTGGTAACACGAAGGTCAAAGGTTTGGATCCCCATACTGGCCAACTGCCCGGAAAAAAAAAAAAAAAAAGAAGTAAGAAAATGGACATTTTATTGATACCATCAAGAAACATCTAAGTCTAAGCAAAGATATAACAAAATTGTCCAAGACTTCTAAACTGAGAACTATAAAATGCTATTACAAGAAATTAAAGAAGGCCCAAATAAACGAGGGAGACCATGCCCCCAAATTGGAAGACTCAGTGCTATGAAGATGCAGTTCTCCCCAGTTGATCTGTAGATTAAATGAGTTGAATGCAGTCCCAGTTAAAATCCCAGTAGGATGTGTGTGTGTGTGCGTGTGTGTGTGTGTGTGTGCGTGAGAGAGAGAGAATTGACATACAAACCAATAGAAAAGTGAGCAAAAAACAGGCATTTTACAAAAGAGGATACAAGTGGTTACTAACTATATGAAAAAGTGTAAGAAAAGTGTCTAAGTTTCTTATATATTTGCATATACCAAGAAATGGAGATTAAAATCACAATAAGATACCTCTATACCTCCATCAGGATAGCTCAAACTAAAAAGATTGACAATACAAAGTGTTGGAAGGATGTGGGAAAGCAGGACCTCTCTTGCACTGCTGGTGGGGGTGTAACTTGAGTGCTGAATGCAGGTGCTCCCGACGTACAGAATGTTGGTGCACAAATGACTAGAGCACAGTTGGAGGAATTGTAATCTGAAGTGTCTTTGTGAAGTTTTGCCACCTATTCACTGAGACATAGAAAGTTCTCTCCTTTTGATACAGAGCTGCGGTAAGATCTTCCATAGGTTAAAGATCCAAGAGGTACGTTTCACACGGTGTACATTTCTCTGAAGCATATATTATTTGAGTGTTCAAAATTAATTAATTAATTAATTTATTTATTTTTGGAGTTTGGCTGGTTAAGGGGATCCGAACCCTTGACCTTGGTATTGTAACACCATGCTCTAACCAACTGAGCTAACCAGCCACCCATGGGTGGTTCTAATTATAAATCCAACATGGATTATGGAAATATTTTTAGCAAATAGAGTAAATTACCAAGGAATGAGCAGGGCTTTTTTGTGCTTTGTTTTTTATGATGTTGTCTTTAGGTTAGTTTAGCCTACACTTATGAAACCAAAGATGCCTTGTGTTTGGTGCTAACCATTATGAATGGAGGGGATTTGAAGTTTCACATTTACAACCTGGGCAATCCCGGCTTTGATGAGCAGAGAGCTGTTTTCTATGCTGCAGAGCTGTGTTGTGGCTTGGAAGATTTACAGAGGGAAAGAATTGTATACAGGTAAGAATGGTGCTACCTGCTGGAGCCCATGAGCCTCAAAGCCTGTTCCTCCCGAGCCCTAGGCTTCCCCCATTTCACACTGGCCACCTAGGGGCTGGGCAGGAGAGCAGCTGAGAACCCCTTGGTGGTCACTCACACTGCAAAGATGGCCAATCAGAGGTGACCTTGGTTTTCTTTTTAGTTTCTCTTTAATCTCTAATAAATTGTCTTTTTGAAGCAGAAGTTTATTAATCAAATAAAGATAGTGCTACTCACATAAGCATAAGAGCCTATTTCCAAGATTCTTAGATAATTTGACAGTTCTAATAAGGATATTCAGTGTGTCCCACCAAAATAACATAACAAATTTCTTAAAATAATATATTCTTTTTTTTTTTTTCATCTTCAAATTCAGTAAAGAAAATCAAATTAAACTTAATAGTTTGTTTTAATCAGTATATTACATTTTAGGAAAAACAGTTCCTCCATTTATCCCTTAAATGCTGGCATTCCTGGTCTCCAGTCTCTTCTTAGTCACTCTCCCTGGGCTGTTTCATTCATTCCCTTGTGTGGGTTCATCTGCTAGTTATGTGCAGATCATTCTCTAATAGATATTCCTGGTCTCAACCTTTTGGCTAGAGTCCAGAGGGACCTGTATATCTCTTGCCCTCCCCCTCCCCATCCAGTTGGTCACCATATTTTCTGGGGCTACAGGCTTATTTCCTGTCTTCCTTAGGTCAGCTGGCAGGTAGAAACTTGACGGGTCTCCTTGACAGAGTCTTGCCCCAGTCCTTTTCCATGAGGTTGCTGACAAGGTCTTTCTGAATGCAGTTCTGATCCTGTCATATCACCTCCCTCTGGGGACCCAGTAGTGTCTCCCTTGTTACCTTGTAAGCCAGGCCCTTGTGACCCTTTATGATGAGGCTCCCCACTTACTTCTCCAGCCTCTTTTGTGTCCTGCTGCTGCCACATGGGACCCTCTACCCTGTTATATGAGCATATTTGCCTTTTCCAGTATGCCTCATGTGTCCTCAGGTCTCTGTGCCTTTGCACGTTCTTGTCCTCTGCTACGTGCCCTTCTTCACTGCAGCCTCTCATCCTGTCTCCTGTCATTATGAGAAACTCCTGCTTGTCTTTCCAGAGTTAGCCCAGTGATGTCCCACTTCCTGGCAGCAGAGTGCGCACTCCCTCTCCAGTGTCCCCACAGTACTCCGTAGTTGTCTTCTCTCAGAGCAGGCCATGCCACACTGTGAGCGTCTTAGAAGTCCTCGATCTTACTTATCCCTATTCTGATGGGCTTTCGACTTTCCTTTGTCTTACATGTCCCATAGGCAAGTTAAATATCTGCGGAGGACCAGATACCAGGTGCAGCTTTGGGGTTGACGTGGTCCACCTTGAGTCATTGAGCAAGGGGTGGATTGTTGCCCTGGCAAGATTCCTCTAGAGATATAGGGAGTCGTCTGAATTGAGGATCCCTTGGTGCTGTTACTTAGAGTGAGTCTTGTGGCTCTGAAGCATGGAACAAACCTGTAAGAGTTTTGATTCCTACATTGCTCCTGGAGTAAGTCACAGTTTTACAGGTGGTTACAGTTAAGCCCCCCGTGCTTGCCTACAGTCTTAAGATGAATTACTGGATTGGCTAGAGTATTCCCACTTCCCCCATCCTTTAACCTTGGCTCTCACTTGCCCTCCAGGCTGAGGCAAGACACAGTCACCTGCACTCACTATGTGCTGGCCCATGTCTGCCTGTCCACCGCTGTGTCCACAGTACTTGCCATCAGCAGTTATCACTAAGTATTTGTTGAATGAATGACTGGTGGCTTTAAGCTTCTAATTGTGCCCTCTTTTTTCCAAGGACCTCTTAAAGCCTTACTTGCGTGCCTCCAAGGAAAGGTTTTTTGTGTCCTTTCCTGTTTTGAGAGATTGCCACTTCACCATTTTTATCAAACCAGGTTCCAGAAAGATGATCTTCCCTATTGCAGTACGGATAAAAATGCTTTAATTTTTCAGCAGTCTGAAGGTCAGGAACGAGGAGGAATATCTGTCTGAGGCAATTTAGGCAGGGCTTCAAGCAGTCGTTAGCAAACAAGATGTTACCAATCAGAATTGTAAGCCTCAGGCCACCTCACTGTCCCCAGGGATCTACCTGGAGAAGCACAGCTGCCTGGGGCGTGGTGAGGGGAAGTACAGCTGTGAAGCCTGGGCCTCCCCTAGAAGCTCTGGGACAGATGCTGCAGCACAGCTCAGGAGTCTGCCCAGGTGATACCTGTACTTTGTGGGCAATTAAGTGGAATATGCCTGAGATTCTTCCTAGGATTCAGGCTTTAAATGAGGCCCAGGCCTCATCATGGGAGGCTTCCTGGGGGAGCTAGGACTTAACCTGGAGCTCAGAAAGATTACCAAGATGAGAGCGGGGGAAGGAGAAGGGCTGGCTCTTCCAGGAGAGAGACCTGGAGGAAGCGGGCAGGGCAGTCCCCTGAACTGAGGCTCGTCAGGAGGCCAGGAGGAGAAGCAATGCTCAGGCTCTCTGGCCTCCCAGACCCTGGGCTGTGCCCTTTAGCATCTGTCATTTACATGGAGAAGAGATTAGGAAGTTAGTTCACGCCACAGTGTTACACAGGGCCTTTTATTCTGAGCATCATTTTCCTGGAGTATTTTGTCTTTTTTTTCTCTAGAATCCTCCTCCATTTGTTTAGATAAAATGCCTGAAACAGATTAACAAGTCACAAAAGGAGGGCCAGACTTCCTGTGGCAGGAACACTCCAGGGGCCCAGGCCGGTGCTAGAAGCAGGGAGCAGGGGTGCACGGTGTTGTTGGCAGAGGTTGTGTGGTTTTGGGGCTGTAGTAGTTTGTGACATACCCTCAGATACCTCTACCTGTAACACACTTTGTCTAAAATATTCAATGGAAAAAAAAGCAAATGCTCAGATCTCAGGTGGTCAAAGGAAAAAAGCAAATGAATGAAATAAAGTGTGTGTATGGGGAGAGGGTCTTGAGAGAACACAAGTGTCACACTTCTCAATGCATAGCCGTTCCTGATCTAGGAAGTCAGCCCTTCATGTAAAACAAAACAGCGAGACAAATGTGCATCTATTTCAGTCCAACCGAGTGTTTTCACTCTCAAACTTCTCTGTGACACATTTGTGCCTGCTTATCATGAAAAAGTCTAAAAGGAAATTGTTGCCTCTGGAGTTTCAAATGACTTTTAAAAATGCTGTTTGTAGATGTATACAATGAGTACAGAGAAAAAGCAATTTCAGATTAATGTCATGAAGGCCCCCTGCACCCCCTAACATCATAAGTTGTCCTCGATGTCACTATCAGGCAGAAGCTGGAGTTTGTATAATAGAGGGTCAAGCCTGTTTTTGTAATTCTTTTATCTTTAGGAATATGGAGGTTATAATTTCTAACTGGTACCAATTTCAGATATTTAGTGGATAAATAAGGACTTCAGTTGTTACGCAGTTACTCAGGTTTGGCACTGTTATGCATTCTCTCTTTGTGTGGATTGTTTAGGTTACAAAGCCAGTTCTCAGTTTGGGAGTTAAATTCTGCTGCTTTTCTTAACCATTGAATTGATTATTTTGCTTTATCTTTGTGGAAGTAGAGTTTATAATCCAGAACCTTAACAAGACATGTCTGTGCATTGTCAACTTTGTGTAATCTTTTGCAAATAAGTCTACAAACTTATAAAGTGATTGTGGAATGTAGGATAATTATTTGTAGACTTATCAAATGCTGAAAGATATTTCACTTGTACTAAAAGTAAATTTAGATGGTCTCTCACAGGGTTCAGGCCAGAAGTTTCTCTGACACTGTACTTATAAAAATTGTGGCATCTTTTGTTAGTTATAAATGTATGCGGACCCTGCACTGCTCATGGAAGCGAGGAAAGAGCTGACAGGTAGTGTTTTGAAGGATCAAGAATCACCTTTTTGTTCTGAGAGAGTGATGTTACGCAGTGAGATGGATATGTGAGATTCAAAGTGATTAGGGTGACTTTTAGGAAGGGTTTTGGGTTTTTTAAGATATAACTTTACCTAAGGCAGGAGGCAGGAGTCAGTCCACCACTTCGGGAGTAGCAGTGTGTTCAGTGTGAAGTCTTTCTTGTGGCACCTATTTTCTGCAAATAGCATGTCAGTGGGGACCGTCAAGGTCATGACCTCCTGTGTGCTGGATGTGCTCCTCACCTGTCCTCTCCTGTGAGCTGGAGCTGGCTTGCCTCTGTATGGTTACACAGCATCTGTTAATGTGAACAACCAAAAAGTAATTGCTCCATCAGGATGATCTCTGCAGAGTTTGAGCTCAGACATGAACCAGTTAAGCTTGTGGTGCATGCCCTTTTATTTTGTTTCCATGCATCACTGTGTTTAAAGAAAGCCACACAGTGTGATGTGAATAATGAAATGTTGCTAGAGGTGGTCAGAATCAACACCAACAACATTCATGTGCATTCTCAGAGCACTTTGGCATGCATTGTCATTTCATCTTCCCCATAGTCTTGTGAGGTCAGGATCATGAATCCACTCACAGAGCAGAGAGAGAGTTGGGGGACAAGGTACCCAAAGGAGGTCTAGCATTCTGTCCTCTTCTGTAACAAAAGGGGAAACCTGAACTCTTCGCTGGCAGTCTCATTGGAGTGTTCATTTCTGAAGAAACTTGACCCTTCCTGTATTAGATAAGATGCAAACCATGAATTTTTTACCCATCTGGAATGCTATAGTTGAAAATAATCAAGAGAGAATATCATTAGAAATTTTACTTAAAAAAAGTGGATGTTTATCTGTGCATTGGGTTTCCTTTTCTAGTGAATGGATTGTGGATGTAAGAGCAGATGACATCTTCCCCACTGTAAGAAGGAGAAGGGAGTGTGATGTGCAGGAGAATAGTGTGAGAAGGGAGGAGTGGTGAGCTTGGGCTTCTCAGACTTGGGCCAGCAAGCTGGGTCATTCAGGCCATTAGACAGTACAGAGTACTGCTATCACATTAGGTTTATCGGTAGCCGAAAGGTTCACATGTTCATTCAAGAAACACATGGAGTCCCAGATGTATACCGGATCCTGAGCCATGTGAACACACTCTGGGGAGCAAAACAGACACAGTCCTTGCCCTCAGGAAGCTTTTGATCTAGTAGCACAGAAGAGCTAGCTGTATGCAAGTGAACATGTAAATGAAGACCTAGTTATAATTTACAAGGAGTGCTTTGAAGGATAGGCTCTTTTGTTTTCTACCCTTTCTGAAACTTTTAAAATTAATTTAAAGAATGGCAGATTTCAATGTTTATAAGAACTGTTCACCAGGATGTGAGCCACCTTCTTCCCCTGGAAATTTCTGCCTCTTGCTGTCTGCTTCTCTAAACACAGTAGTAGCTGACAAACCCATTTCCTGCTGGCTCTCTGGCTGTCTGGCTGTCTCTGGAAAGGGGCCTCTGATTGACTCTGACCTTAGAGTCTTGCCCTGACCCTGCTGAGCTGATTCCCTTAGTCAAGACTATTTGAGAGAACACTGGGGAGGGAGCAGAGCTACTGTCTGCCTTGGCTTCCTTTCCTCCCTACCCCAGTGCTCTCAATGCCTTTTGACTGGAGCAGAGCTATTTTTCAAGACCATGTTCTAAATATCCAGGCCACACTAAAGTTGCAGTTACACCAGAGTGCTTGTGCCAATCTGTGCAATTCTCTTCACATTATTCCCAAATCGTGCCAAGCAGATTGTCCATCATATTGATGCAAAGCGATTCCTGTGCAGTCTGATTCTTATCTGTCTGTGCACAGTCTCGCTCCCTAAGAGAGGCTGGCTAACTGGCAGGACCAGTGACCTCAGGAGTGAGGCAGTGGTGGAAAACAGCACTTTGCGTGACAGGGCTGCGTCACGGAGATGGCAGGCATGGCCAGGATGAGGGAGGAGCAGGCAACAGATGAGCTGTGCACCAGGCAGCGGGTCAACACCTCCTCTCCAGAGATTATCTTGAATTTTGCCATTTCATGATTAATTCAAGAGTCAATAGCAGGTTGAACAATGGAATCCAGATGGGAAAGAATTTTTGTAACAGGAAGAGAAGGAGCACAGAGCTAGCAAAGTGAGCTGCTGCCCAGCCAGAACACTGGAGGTGTAGGACGACCTTTCAATGGCCTGAGAGCACAAGAGTCCGTACAAGGTACATACAAGCCAGCAGGACAGCGTGGGGGGGTGGGGGGGTGGTTAACTGTAAAAAAGTAAGAAGACAACGTTATTTCCTGTTCCTTAAACCCTCTGATCAGACCCTCATGTAAATGCTAAAGTTAGTTTTCCTGGCTTAAAATTGTGATTAGATCATCACTTTTCAAGCCAAAGGAAACCAAAAAAAAGTTTGTCTAGTAAAGCCTTCACTTGACAGTTGAGGAAACTGAGCCCAAGGGGGTGGAGTGACTTGGCCTGAAATGAAGCTGATGTCCTGGCCTCCTGATGTGACATCTGGTGTCCCCTCCACTATGCACCCTGTGCCCATGCTTGGAGGAAGATTGAAGAGAACTGTTAAGTTGATTTAAAGCCTGGAGAAGTAGTTTTGGGGAAGTTTCAAGAAACGAGAACACTTTGCAGCCCAAAGCCGTGGTGCTTGTTTACTATCATAAACCCAGTGTGCAGTAAGGGAAGGGTATAAGTCGGGGTGACTTTGGGATTTGTCCTAGCTTGTCATCTAGCATTTGTGGGACCTGATCAACTTCACTGCACCTCAAGAGTATACCTTTCTTGTCTATATCTACTCTGAAGATTTTTTGTGAGAGTTACAGGCGATAGTACACGTAGAATGCACAAGTCTTGGCATACAGTGAGCATTCAGTGAGTTAGCTGATATTACTACTACTCTTATTATTATTATGTGAAATATATACAGGTACTTCTTAGAGCAAGAGCACCTGCTGCTGATTGCAACAGCTGAATGCAGAACTGGAGGGACGGGGCTAGGGCTGGGCTTCCTACACTCTCTGACCAGCCTCGAGGGCCAGATGGAGCCTGGGTCTGGTTGGGCCCAAGGCTTGCATTCTGACCAGCTCCACAGCAATGCCGGACACTTCGAGCAGTGAGGTTTCAGGTGGTCCTATGAGACACATAAAGTAAGAGGGGTGGGCATGTATTCTGTTGATGTTGACCATAGGACTGGATAGTCAAGGCGGCAGTGGAAATTCCATGTCAAGAAGGGTTGTTTAGTTTTCGATAACATTTATTGGATTTTTTTACTACAGAAAAGAATGAAGGAAAAAACAAAAATGCTCGTCGTCCCACCGTCCACATAGCGCAGGACAGGAGCCCTTGGATAGAAAACGCAAACAGCACAGAAGACGGGCCTCCGCCGGCCCCCCAGCCCCTCTCCCCGGCATCTTCCTGGAGGTCGTGCTTGTGCAGCTGCCCATGTGCGCATGCTCGCATCCACACGAGCTGCCAGGCAGAGGCCTTCCTGTCACGCTGGGGTTGTGGTTGCTGAGCTGAGGATCTCTCACCGTGACTGAGTCTGAGCTTACTGGGGAGTGCCGGCCTAGGTTCTCCGCATCGCCCTTTGTTCCCATCTGCTTCCCTAGTTGCTCTTGCGTTATTTCTGGGGCGATTGTTCAGCTCTGCTGGCTTTAGACCTCCTCCTGGGTTCTAGTGATGTGTCTGTAGATTGGCGGGTAATGCTCAGGGAAGCTGAATGTTGTGCTGGGGCCACACGTGAATCAGAGTTAAATACAAGTCCTTTAAAATAATTTTTTTCTCTGAAAGGGAAAAAATGAATAAGTAACTTGAATTATTACATTTAAGACATTTTAGTCTTTATGATTTAAAATTATTAGAAGTTGTGGCATCCCTGTACCTTCACAGTGAGCTTCAGATGACAGTAACGGCTGTTTATTATGTGCTGGGACATGATCTCAGCCAGACCCTGCAGTGACCCCATGAAGTGTGGCAAGCAGGATCTCTCCACTGCACAGGAGAAGACACTAAGGCTCAGGCAGGTTAAGGGCACACAGCCGAGATTTGAATCGTATCTGCCTGACCCCCAAACTGAGGTCTTCTAATATGGGACATTTTCCGTTGTTGAAACTTAAAAAAAAAATTTTTTTTTTTGGCTAGAAACATCTTTTTTTGTTTTTTAAAATCAATATACAATGTAAACCTTTTTTTGTGGCCCTTTACCAATTTCTCCTAACTCCACCCCCCTTTCCCACCTCTGGTGTCCTTAGTTCTGTTCTCTCCTTTTGAAAGTTTAAGGAATTATTGTGATTGTTGTATCTTTCTTTTTTTGTCTGTGTGTCTATTAATGTTAAGACAAATTGAGCCATGTTCGTTAAGGAATAATTGCTCTCCTCACAGCTGGGCTGCACATTTAATCCCTGAATTGTCTTCACATCTCACTGTACCAAGCAGCTCATTTCACACTGTCATCATGTGTAAGTTGTTTGTTGAGAGGAATTGTGTAGAAGTCTTGTCTTGCCATGTGGCGACTTGAAGGACTCCCTGAGGCTCACTGCTGTAGAGACACATCTGTGGTTATTTCTGCTGGGTGACCAGGAATCACAGTGTTGACTTCTGAAGAACTGAGCTTTTTGTTGTTTCTTTCCTTGCAGAGACTTAAAGCCTGAGAATATTCTCCTTGATGATCATGGTAAGTGAACGAGCTTTTCATCTCTATAGACTTTGTTAGAGGGACTTGCATACAGAAAGTTACTGTGGACTTAGCCATTAATGCAGAATGGAAACAACAACAAAAAGAAACTCTTCGGTATGTATTCTTTAAAACAATAAAATATAGACAACACTGTCATTCCCATTATTTGGGCCAGAAGCAGAGATGGTAACAATTTTCAGTCACAGGTTGAGTTTTAGGAGCACATTAAAGTGAACTCAAAGTGAGAACATTTTCTCTCTCCTGCTTCTTGCTGTTGAGCCACATCTTGCTTTATTTCTTTTATTTTTATTTCCACATCCCCTAGACATTGTCATGCTGCCCTTGGTGCTGTCCTCTTGTCACAGAGCATGTATCACAGCAGGGGCATGATGGCTGCTTGGGGACCCTGGGATAGTGGACAGAGAGTGGCCCTTTGGGGCTGGCTCCTTGTCAGCAGCATGAGCGCCTGCTCAGACCTTGGTTTCTCTGGAAAGAATGCAAGGATGCAAGAATGGTGGCCACTGCTAGGATGACTGGTTATATTCATGTGTAACTACATAAGCAGTGTTGGGAAGGAGCTATTTTCAAGTGATTTTTTTTTTTTTTGGCTAAGAAGGGTCTTACAGTCCAGTAGAGAGCTTATGACAAGGCCAAAGTGACTCCTACAGAGAAGAGAACAGGTGTCTAAGGTAAAGAGTCCAGAAGGTAAACATGGGGTGCTTTTGATGTGTAACCTCCTTTTATACATATGCCACGTGTGTTCATGCTTGTTATCTAATTTATGCGTGAAATACCCACCCTGTGAGGAAGGAGCATACTGAGATTCTCATTTTGTGGAAAGCGATACCAAGATATGGGAAGTAAATGTGCCCAGGGTTGTGTCCATAGCTTCTGGCCCTTAGCCTGTGGTTCATTCTCTGTGCCATGCTGCTAACCAGAGGTGGCCTTAAAGGGGCTTAAAAAGGAGAGGTTGCATTCTGTGGAAAATGGAGCGATCTCCAAGATATGTTGTTAATTGGAAAAAGTAAGGTGCAGAGCAGTGTACAGTATGCTGCCTTTGGGTAAAAAAAAGGGGGGAAATTGTTGCTTTGCCTCCCATGGATTTGTAACCCCTTTTCCCCTGGGTGATGGAGCCGCCAAAGATTACTCAAAGCCTATCTCTTCTGAGTAGTGAGGAGCCCTGAAAAGGGGTTAATTTCCTGGAACCCTCAAGAGCAAGGCATTCCTTCCATTTGGGAAATTAACCACAAATTGGGGTTCTCTTCCTGCATTTATTCTCCAGACCAGGAAGTTCCAGGAAGAGAACATAGGTGGGGTTTTTGCTAAGTACAGTTTAACAAGTTTAACAATAGAAACTGGTAACATTCAGTAAGACCGGCAAGGTCACATTCCATAGTGCAATTTGCAACAAAAGCTTGATTTTAGCAAACATTCTCCTCTTACAGCAATTTCCCAGTATCTTTACATATCAATCAGTAACCTGTCTTTGAGCCAGCAACCTTGCTGTGTTACAATTCTTTATCTTACAACAGAGACCATATAGCCTGGGGAAATTTTCCGGTCCTTTGCGAGGTCAATATTTGAAACTGCAAGGCTTTGGAAAACCAGGCCCCATGAAGTACATTTGCTTTACACATACTCCACAGAAAATAATGTGTATTTGTATTTGCTTATATATACATAAAGAAACATAAAGGAAGAGTCATAAGAAACTATTAAAAGTGAAAACAAGGTTGGGGGAGCAGAACTTACACTGATACTGATAACTTGTTATGTATTTTTAGTAGATTTTTCTCTGAGTAGCTCCCTCCTTTCCAGAACTTTACCTTACAAATTTGAGCTGACCCATATTCCCCAAATTCTAATATCTGCCTCCTTAACTTAGCAAGACCACCTACTTTGCTTAGGTTCCCCCTTCCTGGGCCGCCATCTGAAAAGTGCTCCTTGGTAGAGGAAGCAACTCCTCTCTCTCCTCCCCGGAATCACAGTCCTCTGCTGCCATCTGCTATATTTTAATTGTTTTGGTGAGAAAGCAAGTTTTGTATCAGTTACTCCTACCTGGCTGGAAGCAGAAGTCCCTGACATTCTTAACTTTAGTACATTCCAATTTATGAATTATTTTTCCATCATGTCTAGTGCTTTTTGTGTTTTGCTTAAGAAATCTTTGTCTACTCCTACAACACAAGATGTTCTACGTTTACTTTTAAAGTATTGTGTTATCTTTCTCACTCACTTCTGTGATCCATCTGGAATTGATTCTTGTGTATGATGTGAAGTAGAGGTCAAGGTACATTTTTTCATATATGTAACCAGTTGACCCAGCACCATTAATTGAGGTCAACTATTCCCTATTGCTCTGGAGTGCCACACTGGTCATAAATCAAGTGACTTTATGTGCATGGATCTGTTTTTAGATCTGGACTCCATTCTGTTTCCTTGGTTGCTGTTTTTTGTGTGCGTGTTTGTTTTATCCTTGGGCCAATACTGTGGTTCTTAATGACTAAAGCTTTAGCAAGTCTTGATTCTATTAATCCTCCAGCATTACAGTCCTTCTTCAAGATTTCCTTAGCTATTCTTTGACTTTTTCATTTCCATATGAATTTTTATAATTCGTCAGTTTCTGGGGGAAAAGAACAACAATGTGCTGGGAATTTGGTTGCAGTTTTGGATCTATAGGATGATTTTTGGAGAAATGACCTCTTAGTATTGAGTCTTTCAATTTATAAACATAGTGTATATTGTTCTATATATTTGGGTCTCCTTTAATTTCCCTCAATATTGCTTTGTAGCTTTCATTATAAAGGTCTTACACATTTTGTTATTTGATGTTTTTTAATGGTACTGTTTTTTGTTTGTTTGTTTGTTTTGTTTTGTTTTGTTTTTAATTTTATTTTGTCGATATACAATGTGGTTGATTATTGTGGCCCATTACCGAAACCTCCCTCCCTCCTCCATCTCCTCCCTCCCACCCAACAATGTCCTTTCTGTTTGCTTGTCGTATCAACTTCAAGGAATTGTAGTTGTTATGTCTTCTTCCCCCCCCCCCGGTTTTTGTGTGTGTGTCTGTGTGAATTTATTTATTTACTTTTAGCTCCCACCAATAAGTGAGAACATGTGGTATTTC